ATGGCGGAAACTCACCCGAAGTCTGCCCCATCCGGAAACTACCGCCACATCGTTGGCCTTGATGGCATCACTCGGCGATGGAAGTGTCACGAAGGAGATCACGTTTGACTTCACGAATGGTTTGCTCACCTGTAATAACGTCACGCAACGAAGTTGCAATATTTAGAAAACTGAGGGAAATCCGTGTTTGAATAGACGTGACGATACCTTCAGCAGCGAAATGTCGTTCCTCCAAGAGTCCGCGGCGTTGTAATTTTCGTGAATGATGATTTTCTCAACCGGGTGTTCGGAACCTGGTTTGGAGAGGTTGATCGTGCCTGCTACAACTTTGATGCTGCTCGGGCTTTTTCTTTGAGAAGGAACAACATCAAATAATTTTTTTTTTCTTTCTTGGAGGAATAATTTCTTATTGTTAGAAATTACTGTCTCTTTGTTCAACGTTAAAACACTCTTGTTACGCATGATATGTACAGAGTCGAAAACTGAATCGAAAAGGAAGAATGAAATTTCTTCGTTAGAGCCGTCGTCTTCGAGAGAATCGAGCTTGAGAATAAAGTATACTTGATTTTAGCTAACTCTCGACGTGATAGAAATAATTATCAGAAGATTATTTCAAGATTATTTCGTTTCGTTCCTCGAGAAAATTTATCAAGATAATCTTCAACGAAACATATTCAAAGTCTGTTTTCTTGGAAATGAACGAAGAAAATTTCCATTCTATATTTCTCATTTATTTTCGCGCGTAGATTGTTCGAAATTTCAAACTCTACTTTTTTCGTAGACGAAGACTTTCATGAAAAAATTTCCACTCTATATTTCCCATTTATTTTTCGCGCGTAGATTGTTCGAAATTGGCATACTTTCGAACTCTACTTTCCCGTAGACAAAGAAACTCTACTTTCACGAAACAATTTCATTCTACCTTTTCTCGACTCAGTTTTACCTGTAAAATCGGTCGACCACGTGCACCTTGAACAATAATTCTAATCTCTTTGAAAGCGCGCGAGATTTCTCTAATTTTCTCTAACTTAATCGCACCTCTGATCTTCTTGAATTAAATGTCATTAATGTCATTTCTGTCAAAGCTGCTCGTCCGTTGTTCTTAAAAGCTTCGTTTGTACGTGTAGCAGAGTGCTTTTCGAATGCTTACCCCTTGGTGCAATGAGCCGCCGTAATGACATAATTCTCATTAAGAACGGACCCGCCGCAGAAGTGGAACGAGCTGTCTTCGTTTTGCAGAGATACCTACGGTCAGAAACGTCCTGGTAATTCGACGATATATCCACGAAGCGAGAGACAGATGACGAAAACCATTAGAACGGAGGATCGTCAAGTTTCTGAGAGAAACGTAGCTCGCGATTTTTTTTTTCTTTTTTTTTTCCTCTATGTCAGTCGAGAGGAATGGCGTCTCGTTATTGAAATATGGCTCACCTGATACGGGATCTCACCCTCTTTGGCGTTCTCTCCGTTCACGATTCTTGGGTCGTATCTGGCCAACAATCCGCCTGTGCAAATAATAATCGCACGCGATAATTAGTATCCGGTGATTGCGAATGAAACGCTGATTCATTAACGCGGCCGCTGCTGATTGCTCTGCTTATCACCTACATTTAATCACGGAAATAGCCGGCGGTGAACGTGCTTTCTCTCACGAGTGAAAGAATCCTCCAATTTTTAATTCGACACGTTTCGCAAGCCTGGATCATAACCAATATTTTCTGAGGCAGATCGATAGAGGATAATCTACAAAGATCGTGGATTTCTTTTGCGAATATATATTTTCGAAAATAGAATTGACACGTTGATCGTCGAGAGCAAGTCGAGTAGGTTTCTTACTGCAAAGCCTTAAGTGTTTTGTTGTTGTTTTTTTTTAATGGTTGTTTTTTCAGTTTTTTTTTTTTTTTTTTTTTTTTTTTTGGTGAGGTTTGTGGACTTGCTCTTCAGTGTTAGCTTATCAAATTAGAAGTCTTTATTCATTCTGTTTTTCGTCCATCGAGTGTAGACCATTTTCAACAAGATCTCTAAATCTCAATTAAAACAGTTTTGTTTGAAACGTTTCCGAATATATCGCAAATGGCCATTATAATATTATGTATTTTTACGTAAAAATAATTCAACAATTTACCGTGTTATCTTAATGTAAAAATAATTTACTATCAAAAATTAAATACCATCTTTTCTTCCCGTCAAAAATTTGTAAATTAAGACCTTAAAATCACCCATTTTAATTGGCGAATTATAAGGGCGATCAACATGTTAAAAAGAAAAAAAAAAAAAAA